TACTAGAAAACTGAACCAAAATATAAATCCATCCACTAATATTCAATAACCATAGATACAGTACAGGGTTGTTGTGAGCTTGAGGGCACCAGACACCCTGGATGGGATCACACAGCACACATTAATGTCAATTCAAATCATCGCATGTTTTTGGACTGTGGGAAGTAACCAAAGTATTAGCCAAAAGTATCAGAAACAGTTTCACACACATGTTCCGAATACAGCTGTTCATAGTTATTCATCTTCCAACCACTTATCCAGTACGGCAGTGTTTCCCAGTCTGGTCCTTGGGGACCCCAAGTTTTTGCTCCCTCCCAGCTCCCTGCAAGACAGCCCACATTTTTGCTCCCTACCAGCTCCATACCAGGAACACCAATTTTATTGGGGAATGCCAATAAAAGAATGGATCTGAAAAGCTGAAAAGTTGAAGCCATCAGGATGAACCAAATGAAGTTCCCAAGTTAAGGGGCAATGTGTGGATCTGTGCATTAGGCCTCTGTGCCTATGATTGAAAAGTTACCAGTTCAGGTCCTGTGGTCTACAGAGTAATTTCACCACTGGTCCTTTCAGCAATGTCTTAACCACAGCTGTTCCAGGGACTGGCTGACACCACTTTTTCAAATCTACATTGCTGTGAATAAAAGCTTCTGCCAAATAAGTAAATGAAGGTTTTGCTATGGCATTTCCAAATAAGATTTATCACAATTTTCAATGAAAATGTAATGATTTTCTATAAAATGTATAGGAAGTCCAGTTTGATAGGTAGGGGGCAACTGCAAATGGAACATCCAGATGAGTCATGTTTTGCTGTATATTGCTGGATGTGTCTGACAGCAAAAATGACCACATTAGACAGAACTGCACTGTTTTCGCAAGGAACGGATGACTCATGTTCTGAAATGTGAGAGAAGATAGGGAGAGGTAATTAATGGCAAGTGGAAGGGTTATCTGCTCCAGGCCATTTCTGACCATGCAACATGTTCCAGCGTCTGCCACACCATTTAAAAATGACAGCTTTCAGAATTACGCATGACGGCGATGCTCCGCCACCAAGAACGAAGTTTCAAGATTCATTACTGAATCACTTTCTTGCAGTTTTTCATGCTGTAGATATTAAGAAGCATGTATGTGAGAGGTAAAGAAAGATAAGTTCCTTGTTGTGGCATCCTGATTGATACACAGTTCTAAAATATGTCTGATGATCTATTTCAAGGCTGTCCTGCTTCACTAAGTGTAAGGTGCCTTTCTCCCCAGGGCGTTAAATGCCCTTTACAGATGCGTTACAGAGTAGACTTTTATTAAATGACAAAACGGATTACTTTACTGATAACATTACAAAAAGGCCCTGTGTGAGCAAAGAGGATTGTTGAGTCTTTATTTATCTCTCAGCATTTCCTGCTGTTGTACTCTTCCCCTGAGGTGCTAAAGATCACATTTTGTGTATTTACAAAACACTGTACCCAAGGAGAATTAAGGTGACGTTCACAAAAATGGGTTTGACTATTTTGCACTAGGAGTGAACATTCAGAAGCACATCTGGACATGAAACAGAGGCCTGACTAGATTGTAATTTTCAGAGAAGATGATCTCACTTATACAGCACAGATGCAGTTATAACTTCAGCATATTCTGATGACACTTTCATTACCATTAGTCTTCGGAGATAGTCTTTGAGAAATACTATATGTTGAGTCAGTGCTGACTACGCTTTTCACATCAACAGCTCCAAAAACCTTCATGAACTATCCCCACAAAGGATTTTCCTGAATAATGCTATAGCATTCTCTCTGCGTCAAATTAAAGAATTCTGGTCCACAGAAAACAGACTTTACTGAAGACCATGCATGTGACAGTACAGTAACATCCCACTAGTCAAATACGTTTCACCCCTAACATTTATACCACAGCCACAGTATGATTAAACATGTGACCAACAAAAGCCAATGCTTGGAAAGCTTCTAATGGTTGCTGATTGGCTTGGTGAAGCTCATGATGCAGTTAATTACAGATGAGAAGAGGGGCTTGACCCCTCAAAACATTCATATCATCCTGTTTCAGATACTGGAAAAATGTCATTTCAAGAGCAAAAGTTCATCTACTGTATATACTCGACTCTAAACACTCCTAATCCAGAACATAATAATGCTGCAGGAGTATTGTTAAACGGGGTTTGTTTGTATATAAACAGCTGCTGCACATTTCATCATTACATGTATGGTCAAACACTTACCACCGTTTCAACAGTGGGACTAAAACAAGGCTTATATTGAATCTGCAGCTAACACTGTCAGTAGAATTCATATTGTAAAATACGTCTTTCACACGAACATGACAGGCCACGGGTTTTTTCACTTTTAAATATAAGAATTTTCTACGATGAAAAGAATAAAAATAGTGCCAATGTTTACTTCCACGCCAGACATTTCTACAGTTGGGTTTTTTTTTCCCACTAAGATGCAACTTTGGTAAGTAAACTTTAAATAGGGTGCAATAGGAATCAGTGGGTTTTCGAGTCATGAACCCCCCCCCCCCCCCCCTTGCCAGCAAAAAAGCCAATCAGCAACCTATAGAACCTTTCTTAGCACTGGTTCATGTTAGTCACATACTTGGATCTTTAACCAATGTATTTGCAGCTAGAAGAATCTATGTTTTATTCTGTGTTTTCTTAAACAGATCAGTCCACCTTATTAAACAGTTGTAGCACTAAACACGTAACTTTTCAGTTCATCAGTATTAATCAGGTGCTAATTTAAACCTGAAACCCCCCTCTTTATATACAATGATACAAAATATAAAAACTAAAAAAAAATTGACTGAGCTGTCCAAAAAATTCTTAGAGGCACAAGCATGTGGGCATTTGGATATTTGTAGGTTTATTGACTGTCCAGTCCAGTCACACTGAGCATCCTCAGTCATGAAAAGCAGAGATACAAAACAGCTTCTCCTTGCACACCGGAGGTGTGATATTGGCCTCAGCCATTTTGTTACCATGGAAACTACTAAATACACGCTATCATCAGCCTCTACAAGACACAGTAATTTCCCAGCACAATGAAAGGGTTCAGTCAGTCATTTGTCCATACATACTTAAAGTTTAAAAAAAGAAAATTACAAATAGTGACAAATGGATACTGTCTCTGTCTCTCTCTTTCTGTATTACAGTGTTGTGTGGTAGGTTCAGTGAATTATACATAACTGTGATATTAATTAAAAAATCAATAAACTTCACATCATTAAGGGAATTTGCCACAAAGGAACAGTATTTGTTTCCTCTCATGGAATGTCTGCTAGAACTACAGACTGTATTAACACCAGTTGTGCTCTCAATCATATTTGTAATGTCATTCCTTTAAGGTTTCTAGTGGCCTACTGAGTCAACACATTTAGGTATCTAGTACTGATTATCACAGGTGAACTACTGTTAATTAACAGAGAGACTGCATTTAAATAGATTCATCCACTGGTCTAAGTTCTATGTTGAAATGTGAGATGGTGAGCAATGGTTGACAATCAAAGATATAACCAATCAAAGATGACCAGTCCATGATGGTATGAACATGAATAATATAAATGTTGCAGTCTGCATAATGCTGTATATGATGCTTTACTAGGCTGCTAACACGTCTCATGTTTTTTACCCTCAGAGACCACCTACATCCATCCAAAAGACAATGTCCAGGCAGTTAAACAGAAGAAAGAACAGAGACATCATTCTGAACTACCAGCAATGACAATGAAATTACATTGAAATAACCTTCTTGTGACTGTGTTTGTATTCATTCTGCAAACATGAAGGTCATATTAAGAGCATCTTACTACAACAATTATAATACAAATGACTTCAAATGCCATGTGCAATTGTGTTTGTAATTATGTCTGAGATCTGTAGTAGATCATTATGCTAAGGCCCATATCACCCAGTTATTTATCATATTGGCAAAACAGTCCCCAAATATACTTCCGCTGAGAAACACAAATCAACTACGGTGTCTCACAAAGATTGGACTAGTTACTACAGGTATTCTTGTGACAACATAAGGAAGTGAAAATTCAGCATAGCTAAATCCTTATTTCACCAAATGCATAGCCATGCTGATGCGGCTTCAATCTGCTTTTAATAACATAAACGTATGTGTATGTCTTATCGTCTTTGACAGTATGCTCCAATGAAAATGGGATGAATGCTCAAAGGACAAAGATAATTGCTAGCGTACACTGATGTCACTTGTATGCGACCACATACAGTATAGGCCAATACCGAGACCTATAACCGCTTTAACAAAGCCGGGCTGGAGATTTCCAGTCACAGAAAACGTCTCTTCTATATAATTAAAGCGCCTTTGGCAGCGATTAGAATAAATATATTCGCTGTTCTGTTCAAAGGTATCTCAATGTACACATAAGTAATATTACTGGAAGAATGAAATTTGTTGAGCAACAAAGCGAAGAGCGGCGGTCATTTAAGACATTGGACCTGGGCGTACAATCGGAGTAAAGACCCATGTCCTAAAAAGCACTCGCATTAATAGAGTCCATTTTGAGAGTAATCGTTACATGCTGTGTGATTTCACAATTATATATTAAGTATATTTATCTATGGAAGAACGGATCTAGCTAATTAAATTACTGCACCAGAAAAATATTAATATGCACAGACGTTTAAAGGATTTGACGGTCATGTCGGCGGGTTAGCCCATCATATGATGCATATATTATGAAATTCAGGCAAACTGACACAATACGCATTAAGCATTTTTTCTGCAAAAAGAAACAAAACAATAAATAAATAAGATCTACATCAGTTGTCCGAATCACCAGTCTATAGCCTACTCGTTTATTGAATGGAAGGAAGGCATGTTGCACGGTTTGGGTTGTAGTAGTGTTCACTGCAAAAAGGACTGCCTAAATATAAAATCCGTTGCGCTTACAATGGGTTACACTGGACAAGCAGCTGAATGCAAAATGGTTTAATTTAACAAAGCAAGAAATCGCATTTGTACCTGTGCTGTGCGCTTGATCGATGCTGGTCTCAGTGAGGATGTTGGGGTCACTTTGAGATCTGCCTCGCTGCAGCATACATCCTTCTATTCCACCCGATGTAGCCATTCAGAAAGAAAAAATAGACAATAAGATATTGAAACCCTATCTGAGACGGCCACGGTCACTACCAGCCAGCGATAGTGGAAATTAATTTGGTATGACAAGCGCGGCTTCGAGCATCTAGGAACCGGAGAGTGAAGGAAAATCCTGGACTGTGCGTGCGTGTGCGCGTGGAGGGGAGGGGATAGGGGCTGTCTCTGTCTGCATCTCAGTGTAACGTCCAAAAGCAACCAGCTTTCATGCTTATTCTTAGCTTCAAATGGGAAGCTCTAATATCTTCACGGACCGAACAATCAATTCTCACATTGTGATTTTAGGAGAAGCCGCTATTATTACAGTACAAATATGCAGACACGAAAACACTTAGCCTATGTTACGGCTTTCATACTGTAAATGTTTATTACTTTCCCAACGGTGTCCAACAGCATATCTATTAAAAATCAAATTATGTGTTTTTAACGCGTAACATAGTAAATGGGACTGTTTTGGTGGGCGCAGAGAATTAAGTCACCCACTTTCGAGATGGACAGTAACGATAGGATACTTAAAGGGGTAAACGGGACGGGTGATGTGAACCTGCTCGGTTAGTAATCTAAATGAGAATAACAAATAACGCCAGTGTAAATAGAATATTAATAAATAAACCTATGTAAATAATAATGATAAAAACGTTCGGTAGATACTAGACGAATCAGATAGCGCTTCTTAGTATTACATTGTAAAGCGGGCCAGTAAAACAAGTGAAACGTAATGCCCAAGCCTTAGCAGGCATCGTGAACTGTTGCAAGAGCATGGATGCAGTCTAACTGACAAAAACAAAACTCAGCCCAAATTAAACAACTGAGGATGTTCACAAATAAAATGATTTTTTTCCGTTTGTCACTGTTTTAGAAATGGGACACCTGAAAGGGAGCTAAAATTCTTTACTCTGCAAAATATACTGCAACTAGGCTATACAAAACTGATTGGTTAAGAAGGTTCCCAGAACACATGAAGTAGTTCACAGAGTGACGTTCAGTAGATATGATACAACGAAAAACATTCAGCGAGTCACTTATTAGCAGGAACTCTAATAACCGATATATGTACATACGACATGCTCTCGAGATTTTGAAACATGCATTATTTATGCAATGCTGCCATCGTTCGATAATAAATGGGAAGTACAGGTGTGCAAGCTACACAGTATTGGGCACCAGAAACAATTGAAATTCAGAAGCGTTTTCCGGCCGAGTCAGGGGCGATTCTAGGGTTTGACTCCAGTAGGTTTCCTCTGACAATCTGAAGAAATACGGACTATATTACATCTGTCGAGCAGAGGGTTGTGATGGGACGGAGTCCCCCACGATGACATTTTCCGAGTCGAGGGTACGAAATCATCTTTCAGGGGGGTTGAGAAAAAAAGCAAGGGGGTGCAGCCCCCTAAATAGGATCTTTATTCGCCCATGCCCCGAGTCAGCCTATCTGTAATAAGGCACAGGGTTGTGCGGTGTGTACGTCTGTGTCTGGCTGCCAGATGTAGACAGCATGTACAACATATGGAAATTTATCAGGAATAATCAGTTATAAATTAATTTTATTTACACCTTCACTTGTGAATAAGATTTACGGTGGAATAATGTGTTCATGCTGTATTTTCATTGTCTAGAACAATTGAAAATGAACAGCATATGCATGCAATAATTGTGTAGACATGTAATATGTCAAATACTACATGTAGGTAGTAGTATAGTTACGTAAGCATCTGAGCATTGTTTCAGGTTCAATTTATTTTGATTTTTCAAAGATGTACTGTAATAATAGTCAGAGTTCAGCTGGATGGATTTTGGGATCGTCATTTCGGTGTTTTTTGTTTCCTCTCATATATTTCCTCGGTCCCCCCGGCTCTTTCCCTTTGCTATATACATGAAACTAACCTCTGTGGCTGTTGAGGAGGTTCTGTTCACCACCAGGTTCACTTGGTTAATTGTTTTTCAGTTGCTCTTTAAACGTTTAATTTCTATTCGCAGAGAGGCATGTGAAATTTTCGATGCGGTTGCTAATCTGGACCGTTAGTTTCAAGTGTAGTTGGCGTGACACTGAGAGAGGAGGTTCTGCTCGCCATCAACTTCACTTAATCAGTTTCAATTTGATCAGAAATGGACGATGAAGTCGTCCGTTCCAATGCGAGAGGTAAAAGCAAAAAGTTACATACACGTATGTTTAATATAGGCCAACCTACGCAGAAGCACATTTCATGCAACGCACATTAAATAACTTCACGGAATCATTCTAGAGAATTGTAATATGGACGACTTCCACGAGATGGGGCGATTTCCTTCATAATGAATAAGAAGTCTCCTCATTCAGGCGGCGCTCTAGTTATGTTAATTCGATTTATGTAAATTCGCCCTTACGTAAAAACTATCTGAGATGTATAGTTTAAGGAAACGTAAAAAGGTGACGTGCATGTAAGTAAATTTACACTTTCATTTTTGTCATCTATTAAATGTCTTTTAGCGCATATTTTTTCATTTATGTATTTCTTGCTATAAAGTGTCTTGAATTGGATGGCATAGTAAATCCGACACATAAAATTTGACTTAAGTAAGGGTTTGTGAACGGATTACTTACATCAGTCAAGAACTGCATTTGGAAGATAATTTAGGATTCTCTATGGATGCACCATGAAAGAGAGCATTTTTAATTGACGTTGATCCAGTGTGTGTGTCTAAGTGTATTTCCAGGGTCCAGCACAAAAGTATTGTCCGCTTGCAGTTCTACACAGTCAATGATATGCAAGCAGGGGAAAATGGTGACCCAAGCATAGCCAAGACCATCAGCCAATCCCTGCTATTAGCTGTAACTGTGTTATCGGCTATTGGCGTGAACGTGGTAAGTTACTGTACATCAAACAAGCCATTTTTTAATATAACTCAAGCTGACCAGGCATCTTCATAAATGTGCTGTCCATAGCATGTTAAGCAAGCAGTGACATGATGTCACATTGGCTTACACTGCTAGGACTGGGGCTTCAAATAGTGCCTCTGAACCGTGTGTGTGTGTGGTCTGTAGTGTTAGCCAAATGTAGCTTCATGAACCATTTGCTGTATTTTTTGGTCCCACTAGATGGTGCTCTCTTCATAAAAGGGCTCAAAGCATGCCCTAATGCAAACCAGGAAATATACCAAATGGTTTGTGAAGCTTCATTTGGCCATCAGTAGTGGTCTGCATGTTTTCCTAATGTTATGTGAGTTTTCCCCCAAAATCCAAAGAAATGTAGTTAGTCTGATAATGAGAATGTGACCTACGATGGCATCCCATCCACAGTATACCTCTGCCTTGTGCTGCATGTGATAGACAGTATAAGTGGGTGGAAGATGCAATTAATTAATGTATCACTTCCTTTTAACTCAATATCATTGTTGCCACAGGTATGAGAGTAGTGTGTACTGGTCTCTGTTCTGCCTAATTGTTGTGTCCAATGTCATCATTTGCATAGCAAGCTACATAATCTGATCTTGCCGATGCTCATTTCATTGTTAAAAAAATGTAAATGGGATCCTAATAAGTTTTATGATCATTTCTTCACTTATTTGTCGAGTAAATAAAAAACTTCCTTCAGCGTGACTGTGCATGTATCTCCCTCATATCTTTCAGAGGTCTATGACATCAGCTCAAGTAAGTGTGACCTTGTTTACTCCTTAATTCATCTAGAGTCGAATGAGCTGGCATTGAATTATTGTAAATTCCGTATTACCTTTCCAATGCAGTCATTGTGACGCCGCAGTTATGTAATGCAGGCATTCTGGATGTTTTATAATCTCAAGTACATTATACTAAGAGTACAACAGCACTGACCCACTTCCCTGGTCTGCACGTTTTAGTCTGGCTACACACTTGGTCACACACTGTAGGTCAGTTTGGTTAGCTTTGATAAAAGAACTGAGTTGGGGGCCTGCACTTGGGTTTAGCAGTGGTTTTCCTTCTTGCACTCTGGAATGCCAGCCATTTCCTTATAAGTCCAGGATCCTCAGCATTTTGCAATATCTGGTATCTTTGTCCCATTCTGCTGTGTCCAGAACCTACACAGTAATTACATGCATAATAATATGAATCATGAAGACTTTGCTCACCCTCTCCTGGAGCCGACACCTTATCGTGGTGGAGGGGTTTGCGGGTTCCAATGATCCCAGGAGCTAAGTTGGCCAGGGTTTTATGCCCCTGGTAGGGTCACCCAAGGCAAACAGGTCCTGGGTGAGGAACCAGATGACGTGCGGCTCACAAGACCCCTAATGAAGAGAAAAATATTGGAACCACGGTTTCCCTTGCCCGGTCGTGGGTCACCGGGGCCCCCCCCCTGGAGCCAGGGGGTGGGGCTCGATGGCGAGCGCCTGCTGGCCAGGCCTGTACTGATCATGGGGCCTGGTCAGGCACAGCCCGAACAAGGCACATGGGACCCCCCTCCAATGGGCTCACCACCTATAGGAGGGGCCATAGGGGTCAGGTGCGATGTGGGCTGGGCAGTGGCCAAAGGTGGGGACCTTGGTGGTCCGATCCTCGGCTCCAGAAGCTAGCTTTAGGGACATGGAATGTCACCTCTCTGATGGGGAAGGTGCCTGAGCTGGTGCGTGAGGTTGTGAAGTTCCAGCTAGATATAGTCGGGGGCACACGGCTTGGGCTCTGGAATGCTATGCCTGGAAGTGTATGTGCACTTGGCACCAGGACACCCTAGGCCGCAGTTCGATGGTCGACTTTGTAGTCGTGTCATCGGACTTGCGGCCGCATGTCTTGGACACTCAGGTGAAGAGAGGGGTGGAGCTGTCGACTGATCACTATCTGGTGGTGGGTTGGCTCCGCTGGTGGGGGAGGAAGCCGGCCAGGCCTGGCAGGCCCAAGCGTATAGTGAGGGTCTGCTGGGAACGTCTGGCGGAATCCCCTGTCAGAGGGAGTTTCAACTCCTACCTCCGGCAGAACTTCTTCCATGTCCCGGGGGAGGCGGGGGACATTGAGTCCGAATGGGCCATGTTCCGCGCCTCCATTGTGGAGGCGGCTGACCGGAGCTGTGGCCGTAAGGTGGTCGGTGCCTGTCGCGGCGGCAATCCACGAACCCGCTGGTGGACACCAGTGGTGAGGGATGCCTTCAAGCTGAAGAAGGAGTCCTATCAGGCTTTTTTAGCCTGTGGGACTC